TTATTTGGGTCGACTTGCTCCATTATTTAGGCATTACATTCTGGTCCAGATAGGCATGCTATATATTTCTTATGTCTGCATATTCTGTTGTTGTGTCAGTATGTCTGTTTTGTAAAATTTTCATTGTCGTTTCCAGCTTGATATTATGTTTAGTTTTTCACACTACTAGACCAGACCACAATGAACTTTCTAGCTCATCATTTTTCTCTATTTTCCCCTTTGAAACTATTTTGGACATTAGAATTAGATCAACACTCTGAAGATCGGAGTCTCGATTAGATCGTCACTTTGAAGATTAGTCTCAAACCGATTATAGTATAGTCATAATAAGTTTTGTATATAATAATTTATTATCATTTGGAATGTGGCATAGGATTAAGTAAATTGTTTTGAGAGATGATATTATTATATTTAATATGATATTTGATCACTAAATTATCTGATAATTATTAGCATAAAACTTAAATAATATTTGAATGATGTTTATATATTTAGTAAATCATTTTCTAATTGTAGAAATTATGTTAACAAGTCACGGTTTCTCGAGAAATGTTAAACTTTCGAGTTGTCACACCCCAAATCCGAGTTAATATTTTAGTCTTGATAAATCAAAATTTTTATTGGCTTCAATTATTTAGTTTTGGACTAAATTGAATAAATGCTAATTTTAAAGATATTGACTTATCTCGTAGTTTTACCAACTTATTTTAGTAATCAATTTTCTTCAAATTTTCGGTTTTAGAATTATATTTAAAGTGTAATTCCTAAATTTGTTTTATTTCAAGTTCTTTTCATTATTGTCTCAAAAATATTATCTTATTATCTTAAATTGTTTATTTTATATTATCTATTATTTATTTATTTATTTTAATTCTAAAATATTTCCATAAGATATCTATTTTAGAATTGATTTTTAAATAAAACTTCTATCTTTATCTCTGTTTTAGTTGAATTTAATCTTATCAATCTACAAAGTATTTCCCCCTAAACTTTATATATTGCCACGAAATAAAGAGAGAACAAATTCATCTTCTCCCTTATTGTTTCGTTTTAAATTCTACGACTATTAATTTAATTAGCTTTTCTAAAGTCGTGTGGCCCTTCTCCATTAAACCTTCCACTCAAGATTTTGTCCACAAAAATTGTTGCTCGTTAGTATATTTATCATTATACGATTTAAGGTGTTTGTCTTACCGTGCTACAACTATTTTAATTATGCTTAATAGTTTTTTTTTGTTGAATATAAAATAATTAAATTCTGATTGATGTCGTGGTGATATATATGTTATGTGACGCATGTTATATATCGGCTTCAGAATTTATGCTAAATCTATTATGTATTAATTGTTTGACTGATTGAAAATTGTATTGAAGCACAACTTTTTTGTATTATTGTATTAAATTTAATTCGGATAAATATGTTATGTGACGCATGTTATATCGGCTTCGGAATTTATGTTATGCATTCATATTTTGAAATTTATGTAAATATTTTTACATTCAGATTATATCAGAATTCATATATATGTATTTTGATGCCATGACACATGAGGTTGGAATTGATAGGGAAGTTCAATGTATTCACCCAAACCCAACGAGGTTTGTGACGGACTCCATTTGGATGGTGACATACTCCACTTTGGATGGTGTGTTATAATTAGAGTGGTTCTGGGGGAATCTACTCTTCGAGTCTATGAGTGCACTACATTTGCATATTTATTCGCACCATGCATATTATGACTCGGACTGTAATTATGCTTGTTGATTGTTTTTTTTAATACTTTATTTATACACATATTTTGACTGCACTGAGCTCTATAGCTCACTCCTTTTATTTCTCCATTTCAGATATTTCATAATGTTAGGATCAGATCAAACATCGGAAGGATCAGAGTCTTAGATTTAAATTATATTTGATAAAATATTTTTTAATAAAGTGATAATAATTGTATAAATTATTTGCAATTCTAATTTAATATCTAATATTTTTTTTTGAATTAAATTTTGGATCACCTCGGTGATCAATATGACTTTCAAGATTCGACCGTAACGTCTAAGTCGAGATTTAGGGGTTACACGAGTTCATTTATCTAGATATGTTCTCTAGATTCAGAGATGTTGATAGGCTCTCCGGAGGTCCTTTGATACAAAATTGATGCGCAAAGGGCCTTTTAACGGAAATACAACACTAACCCCTCTTTTAATAGAAGGAATGTGGTGGAGTGATTTAACTTTAGATATTATCGTTGAATGGCCACTGGCATTCTTTTGGTCATTTTTAGGAAAACGTTGCATTGATTATTTCATGAATGGCTTGAAACCTTAAATGCATGTTGTATCGTACTTAACGCGGCAGATTGACGTAATATTTTAACTGTTAAAACTGTATCATTTTGTCTGATTATATAAGGACTTGATGCAATAATTTAAAATTTTCTCATTCGTTGTTGTTTTCTGACTTGCGATATTGCTTCTGATTTGGACCATCGACAATGCTATAAACTAGGGGATGCTGCAAAGTGTATGAGCTAATTCCAGCTGCCCTGCCCTTGCTGCGGGTCTGCATCTGGTTGCACCCGAGCAGGCTCAGATCTGCGTAGATTTTTAATTATTTTGATACCAATCGGCATTATTCTGAGAATAAGAAAGGAATTGTATATGATTGAATCCGAATCTTAAACTTACTGGATGTTATTTTTACAAAAATAATTATATTGACCAAGTTCATTTACTATTGAAGTCTGTGGGGGAAGATGACAAAAACTAGTAAGCCGACAAATTAGAACACCCCAAGATTCTGCAAGTGGGAGCTTTAAAAAAGCTGTGTGCTTTTGTTTAGAAAGTTGAATAAAATTCTTCCCAAAATACATCCAATTTATTCCTGAGTTGAATGACAGAGTTTTTTATGTATTGGTTTTGGCATTGGTGCAATGCTTCTTATGGATCAGAACAAATATTTTTAATATTATAAGACGTTTACACGATAATATATTCATAATATTTCTTAATTATTAATAATATACATATATACACTCTACGGACGTAACTGCTTGACTTTGAGACCTCAAATGAACACATTTTATAACCACCGAAATCATTCAACGAGTTAACGAGAACAAATAAATTCAATTTAAAAACAAAAGGATTGATACAAGTGCAGCAACACTAAATCTTAGGCTTTTCCAGAGCTCCCATCATCGATTCATGGTTTCTGACGATTCGATTTACACTGCCGACAAATATTCATAGCATCCCAGTCTTTTGTCCATGATTTTAATGTCACATTTGCACTTCCTTTTTTCGAATCTCCGCCTATGTTTATCCCTTTCTCAATCATTTCTATCCCAACCATGACATGAGTTCCACTTCATCATTTCTTGTCAAATCCAGGAGAAAAAAAAATAAGTTTCAACAAAGATTAAAAACATATTAAAAAGTCCAAATAAGAAATTAAGGTTTTTATTCTCTCTAGATAAATTTTTATTTGATATTTTTGAAAGATTTAATTTTTGTTTGAGCAAATATAAAAATATTTGTCTGTTCTTGCAAAGCCGTTTTTATACGACTGTTTTAAAAGATTACTTTTCAGTATCTTCCATAATGGAACGGCTCATTTGTTTAATCCCCTAATTTGCGTTAAGAACAGCTCTAATTAATTACGATATTTATCACCTTGACTTTTGTACGTTTTTAAGAATCGTTAGAACATGTGATTTCACTTCGCAAATTCCAAAGTTTGTATTTATAAAATATTTATTTAAAAATAATTATAAAACAAAACTTAGTGTTAAAGATATGTGAATATTATAATTTTTTTGTTAGAATTTTATATGTTTTTAGGTCCACAAATCAATTTATAAATTAAATTAGTTTTTCTAAATACACTTTACATCATTCAATTATATATTTGATAATAGACAAATTGTTTTTAAGAATTTATAAATAAATCACATGTTTAAGAAGTTTTCGTTTATACAAACTGAGTCGTTAGTTTTATTAAAAACTATAAAATATATTTAAAATTTCAATAAAAAATTAAATACACAACTAGAATATTTTCTATAATCACTGACACAATGAACTAGCCACTCGAGATCATATAAGGACCATACTCCATACAAGGAGAAGGATAAAACTCGAACAAAAGACATATATGAACAAATATGATTGCATCGATAAACAAACCACAACAGGGGAATTAAAATAATGAAAGACCATTGGCAACCGCAAATTAGAATTGGGAGTCGTGAGAAAACTATCTAGGAATGCAAACCGCATATCCAAGTCCAAAGTAAAAAATATCAACATGATAACAGATAAGTAACATCCTAGATGCAAAATATTCATATTTTAACAAAATTATATTTCTCATTACTTACCTCTTCACTCCCACTCTAACCTATAACAAATGATTAATATATTTTAAAAAAAGATTAATAATTTAATTTAAATTATTTTTACACTTTTTCTTGTTTATTTTAACATTCATATTTTTAACTTTTTCATGACCTTAAAAATAAATATCTTCACCGTAGGTGCATTTTAATTCATGTACTTATAATGAGAGCACACAAAAGATTTGCCTAGAATTTAGAGGGATGTTCTTATTGTTTTGATACAAATCGATATCAAAATTTATAATAAAACTCAGTAAATCACTCTAAATTACTTCTAACCTTGTAGCTCTAATTGGTTGCTAAAGCTTATGAGATTAATATCATGTCATTTAACATTAATTTTACAACTTTTTGACGTTAAATATCATGCCGTCACTCTTATTTTATTTTCATGCAGTAGAATAGGACAAAAAAAAGCGAAGCCATGACAAATTCCGGTTCCAAATAAACATTACAAGAGCCACCCAAGCATACATATGGTCCATATTAAAAAATACAATAAGATGAAGCAATGACCATGAAATCACGTGGAACCACCCCTCCATTAACATCCATTGAATTTACACCATCACCCCTTTCTATTCTACAGTTTCTCCACTTTCATCCCCTTCCTGTCTTTATCTATATAAACCCCACCATTGCCAAGCATCTTCACCCAACAAATTTACTTCCCAAAAGAAAAAAGAAAAAAAATCCATGGGTTCATTTCCTCATATTGTGGAAGATTGCATGGGAGTCCTCCAAGTGTTGAGCGACGGCACCGTTTTCCGGTCCAAAAACATACAATTCAACATGCCTGTAATCGACCATGAGGATTCGGTGGATTTCAAAGATGTCATGTTTGACAAAAACCATAACCTCCATCTTCGAATTTACAAGCCCCAATCAGCATCTAATTTTCACAAGCTCCCCGTCATCGTTTTCATTCATGGCGGTGGTTTTTGTCTAGGCTCTCGCACGTGGCCTACCTGCCACAATTCGTGCCTACGCCTAGCATCGGGGCTCAACGCGGTCGTCATTGCACCGGACTACAGGTTAGCCCCGGAGCATAGACTGCCGGCGGCAATGGATGATGCAGCCAGTGCCATGAAGTGGCTGCAAAGTCAAGCTTTGAGTGGAAACGGTAGTAGCGATGCATGGTTGAACAGTGAAGAGGTTGGCTTTGACCAGGTTTTTGTCTTGGGTGATTCATCAGGCGGGAATATTGCACACCATTTGGCAGTTAGGTTCGGTGCTGGTTCGAGCGAGCTGGCGCCAGTTCGAGTACGAGGTTACGTGCTATGGGCACCATTTTTTGGTGGGATGGTGAGGACCAAGTCAGAATCGGGGCCTAGCGAGGCTTTGATGAATCTTGAGATACTTGACAGGTAATGTGATTTTTTTTATTAGGCCATTTTGATAATTATTGACTCATAATTTTTTATATAATGTTTAATTCTATTCATATTTTTTAAATTAAAAATAAGTTTTGTTTTTTTAAAGGAAATAAGCATATGTTTAAATTCAAAATTTTCCTGTTATTTTTACGAAACCTGCTTCTAAACGTTATCAGTTTCTATCCTTCTTAATTCGCTATAGTTACGCTATAATTACAATTTAATTAACTCGACATGCATCATCTTGGAGAGAGAGAAAAAACCAGGAACACACATTGTTTATGTATCTTTTATTTAAAGGGTTTAATATGAAAATTTTGTTTAAACTATATATTTTTTTCTATTTAGATGTTTAGTTTTTTTTGTCAACGTGGATGTCTAATGTTACAAACGTTACTCTTTTAAATGTCTATTAAGAAAATACAATCAACCACTTAAAATGTGACACGTTACGCATTTATAAATTTTTGAAAATTTTATTTTAAAAAACTTAAAATTATTATTTTCAAGCAAATCCCAAAATATTTTTAAAATCTCAAAAAATCCCAAAATCCTTAATCTCAAAGAATTAACTTCACTCATCGACCGTCCCTGCCGTTGTCTCCCCCGTCAGCCATCTGCCCACACGTCAACGGTCATCACTTGTAACTTTAATCTTTCAAAATTCCTAAATCCAATAATCAAATTCCTAAATCTCAACACACATACATCCCTATCGACAGATGAGTGGTATATGAATGGTTGATATGTAAGTGATCGACAGGTGAGTGGGTGATTATAGACGATGATGGGGTAGGCGGCATAATTGAGGGTCTTCATGTATTTTTTTAAAAAAATAAAAAAAGTTGTTTTTTTTTTTGAAAATTTATGAATTTTATTTTTTTTTAAATTAAAGAAAATGAAAAATCAGATCACATGTCAAATATTGATTGGTTGACTAATTTTTAACAATTTTTTAACAACCGTTATGGTGTTTGTACTTAAAACGATATTATTTGTAATGTTAAACACCTGCATTGAAAAAAAAATTAAGGAAAAAAGTGAGTATAATTTGAATATTTTTTTTAAGATTAAAACTTTTTAAAATATTGAAATTGATTTTTTTTTGAAGTAGAATAAAAAAAACACGCACAAAATTTACGTATGAAACAAAGCCGCAGGTCCAAATAATGGACAATAAAGCATAAATGGTGGTGGTTCTTATCAATGAAAAGGCAAGTCAATCTCACCTACACCACAAAAATATCAAATTCTTAATCAACTATTGACATGTGATCTTTCCTTATTAACATTTTTAATTAATTTCTTAATTGGATTATTAAGATAATTTCAAAGCAAGTTCTATATAAGTGTTGACCAATGCAAATAAATCCACAAATTGAGATAGTGCTTAAACACTCCCCGAAACACATGAGATAATGCCTTATCTAATTTCGTCAGTTGTCCTTATCTTTGGAAAAGGCTTTCCATACCTATCCACTTTAATATTTTCTTTTTGTTTGTTGCCTTCACAGTTTTTTAGAGTTTTGTTTTAATTAATTTGAATTGACTTATATCGCACAATTAATTTTAGTGGGTGAGTCTTCGAGTAGAAATTTTTTGCATATAGAAAACATCGAACTCGAGATCTACTTAAGCGATATCAAGTTGCTTAATACTTAAAATTAAACTAACCCCAATGACTATCCACTTTAATTTTTTAAGAGCCATGATTAATACTTTAATCGTTATCAAAAGCTTTAGCAAGATTATCAAGTAATATATAAATTTTGGAGTTTGGTATGATTTTACTCCTCTGTGCATGGTTCATTTGAGTCAATCCATGATATTTGTTGTGATCCAACATCCCATCACAACCCCACAATCTTCATGTTTATTGCTCCTTACTGTTGAATGGAAAATCAACAGTTTTGTCATTATTCATTGAATTGGGCAGGTTTTGGAGGCTGTCGATGCCGATTGGAGAGACGAGAGACCACCCTTTAGCGAATCCATTTGGGCCGATGAGCCCTAGGCTTGAAGCAGTGGAGCTTGATCCCATCTTGGTCGTGGTGGGTGGCAACGAGTTGTTGAAAGACAGGGCTGAGGATTACGCCGCCAGATTAAATGAGATGGGAAAGAAGATTCAGTACGTGGAGTTCCATGGACAAGAACATGGTTATTTCAATTACGATCCATATTCTGATGCTGCTAATCAAACACTGCAACTTCTCAAATCATTTATGTATGACAACTCTGCTTGATTTTTTGGAAAGGCGAACACTTAACTTATCAAATCATTTATGTATGACAAATCATATTCGCAATAATATGTACGTAAAGTGTTTGAAGCTTTGAGAGAAATATCATCTCATTCGGCTGTAGCACCTTCCTGATAACCAAAGTGACCAGCAGGCTGAAGAACAGGAGATCAACCACCATGAATTGCGAATTCCATAAAATCTAGTGGCAAAATAAGAATTTTTAATTTTTCTATTATTAAATCTAGAGAGATTACAATGTAGTATTTGTTCTAAAGATTATCACTTAGTTGATAATGAAAGCTTAAACACTCATTGGTACTCGAACATAAGACCTCTAAAGATAATAATGATTTCTTTAACCACTGAAATGACTCGATTCGTGCTGAGATAAAATTATCTTTAAGAATAAAATTTTTGAAATATAAAATTACCTAAGATACCACGAGAATATTATATTATATCCTTTTTATTTATTTGATAGGAAAATTACATTGTTTGGTTTTGAGAATAGATAAGATTACACAAATATATTTTATTTTATCAGATTTTCTTTATGATATATTTTATTTTTAACGATTTAAAATTTTAATATTAAATTAAAAATATTTGCATAAAATTCATATAACTATATCTGCTATAATTTCTAAATTTTATAAAAATATTATATTTAATATATTATTTTTTTATTAGTTTTGAGTAATTACAAAGTAATATTTATTCGAAAAACTTTTAATGATTTGACAATGAACGTTCAAACACACTCTTATAAATATTGTGTTTGAATCCGAGAACTTTATGAATAACAACCATTTCTTAATTACTGAAGTCGTTTGGGTCATGCTCGTTTGAAAAATTTACATAAATAAATATCTTGTATATATTTTTAACATATTTAATAATAAGAATTTAGGTTGATTTTTGAGTGATTAAAACACTCTTTTAAATTGTCAAAAATGATTTAGAGTTGTATAACTCAACTTATGATAATAAATGTCGGTAACAATGTTATTTTTAGCACTTAAAATTAAGGTAATTCTAAACATTTGAGTTTTAGCACGTTCATTATTGACCTATTTGTAATAGTCATGAATGTACTCTCTTACTTGCTGGATGTTGCAGCCAGAAATGGAATTTTCAGATTCCACCCTAGATGTAGGAGGATTTCACTTACACATCTTTACTTTGCTGATGATTTGTTAATGTTCTGCCATGATTCTATGGACTCAGTGTTGGGAGTGGTAAGCATTTTAGACAAATTTTATGAGCTATCTGGGATTAAGTTAAATGCTTTGAAGACTGAACTCTATGCTTGTGGGATGAATAGGGTGAATTAGAACAGATTCAGAGAGCTACAGGTTTTAGAGTTGGTCAGTTTCTTGTCAGGTGTCTGGGGGTACCCTTGGTGACCCGAAAGCTTTCAGGGAAAGACTACACATCTTTACTGGCGAGGATCAGAGATAAGCTAAGGCAGTGGTCTAGCAGAAAACTGAGTTTTGGTGGGAGGCTGCAACTTGTAAAAACTGTTTTGTTTAGCATCTTTAATTACTGGAGTAGACAACTTATTCTACTGAAGGGAGTCATTCGGGATATTGAAAGGCTTTGTATGAGATTCTTTTGGAAGGGCAATGATACCTCAACTAGAGGTGCTAGGGTGAGCTGGAATCATATATGCTCTCTAAAATTTGAAGGAGGTATGGGGTTAAGGAATTTGTTTGGTTAGAACAAAACTTGTTACCTTATGCTTGTTAAAAATATTTTAGCTGGTGAAGGATCATTGTGGATTGCCTGGATAAAGACCTATTGTTTTAAGCTTGAGGATTACTGAAGTGTTGAATGTGAGCCTCATTTCAGCTGGATCCTCAGAAAATTGATCAAGATGCGTGAGGAGGCTAGGGGACTGTTTACTGCTTTTGTAAATTGGTCACATATTAGAGGAGGCTGGATCTGGGACAACATTAGAGAAAGGAAGGGCAAAGTTGACTGGCATCGACTCATTTGGTTCCCTGCTCATGTTCCAAAGTTCTCTCTGATTACGTGGATGGCTATCCTTGTCAGGTTGCCTACCAAGGATAGACTTGCTCGGTTTGGTATGGTTACTGATAATAGTTGTGGACTATGTGGTACTGAGCTGGAATCAAAGAATCATCTTTTCTTGGACTGTTCTAATTTTTAGGGTGGTCTGGGGCACTATTATGCACTCATGTGGGCTGTAGCAGCAAGGGCTGAGTTGGGAAGACTCGCTCTGTTGGATGGCTAGGAATTTGAAAGGTAAGTCTTTATTAGTTCATGTTCTTAAATTAGCATGGACTGAATTTGTTTACTTCATATGGGAAGAACGTAATCATAGAGCTTTTAGAGGACTGATACATTCGATTGATACAATTGTAAATACTATAAAGAGGGTTGTTAGGATCAAATTGTATAGGTATAGCATGAATAGGCTGGATGGTGTAAATAGGCATCTGTGCAAAGATTGGGGGTTAATCTAGTTGGTTGTAAAGTCTCTTGTAGCAGCTTGCTGCTTTCTTTGGATGAATACAAAAATAAAAAAATATTTAAATATGTAACACTAAATATTAAACTATATAAAATAAACATATTTAATAAAATTTACACATCAATTAATTAGTTATATAAACTAATATGAAGAAAACCTATTATCTTAAGGTTATTTTGTTCAAAATGGTAGGAATTGACAAATATCTAAAGATTGAATCAGAATGACATTCTTGTAATCTTTTAAAAAAGCGTCACCGTTGGTAATCTTTTTATCCTGCCTAGTAGGAATTAGGACAATCCAAACATGATAATAAGATTTCAGAAAAAATTATTATCCGTGATAATAATTTTTTTCAAGAATCAAACGTCTTCTTATGAATGTTTGATATTTTTGTCTGACATCATCCTATCCTATCCCATCTCTATTTTATTTTTTCTTTATATATTTTATTTTTTTTAAAAAAAGGCAAGTAAACATATAAGCATGATTTTTCTAAATAAGATATATAAATATAAAAAAATTACAATTCTCTAACATAAAATAATTTAAGGTTTTTTGTATATCATATTTTCTTCCTAATTATGTGTATAAAGGTAAAATGTTATTTAATATTGGAGGAGTGGGACAAAAAATTATCATATTTTTTCATATCAGTTGTTCTAAAAGAATTCATCCCATGCCGCTCCAAATTCACTAGGGTTATCTACTTTGTTTTGCTCGGTAATGCAAAATTATTTATTGAAAGAGATTTGACCTATGCATCTCGGATTTAACAAGGTAATACGCTACCTAAGATATTGTCCCAAGCTGGTCCGAAAACAGATCTCCCTTGGCAGAAAAGGTTGAAAGCCACCTCTAGAGAAATGGGTTCCATTCCCTTGGGCCGTCGCTTGGCTGCGAAGTGAAACATGGACACGAATGCATCTTTTGGGTCTCGATAAATGTAAACAATCTTGACATCATCGGAATCCACAACAGATTTGGGCAAACAACGGTAGGGGGCATGGGTGGATATGAGTGGGATTCCTGGATTACGTATGTCTGGTTTTTGGTCAAAACCGACCAAGTTGGGCACACAATGGTGCGGACCCTTGGTGAGCAAAGGGCTGTTGGAAGTGTCGAAACGGTTTCGAGTGACAATGGAGAAACTCAGTGCCTTGAGCCAGGTGGTGCCGCTTTTAGGAGCACTGCAGACGAAGATGTCGCCTGGTTTAGGCTTGAAACGATGTTGAGCTAAAATGATGCTTTCGAGGAAATGAGGGAAGGTCCAAAAGCCCTGATATAAGCAAAGAGACTGAAACGAGTTCCACCCAATTTCTGTAGGAAGTGTTGGCCTCCGAAGTGGTAAGAGCTTCAATGTCTGCAATCATTTCATCTGTATGAAATCTGTGTGTTTAAAGGATATATGTATATATCTTCACGGACTCAGTCTTCTCGTCTCCTCAACGGTGTTAGGTGCTTCTCATAATAAAAAATTGCTGCTACTGGGAAGCAAATCGAAAACAATATATTTTCTAATTGAAAAAGCTAAAAGATGCGCTTTGCCATTGCCCATTGAATTTCACCATTTCCAACAAGACAGACACAGGACACATTACAGGTTAGGTTAATCCAATGGTTATGGCATCTTATTACTTGAATTTATATATCTATTTAGGACTACAACTCATCCAGTTAGTTTCTGTACCTCCTTAACCTTTTTTGAAAGATTCATTTCGTGGATGGCCAAAATTTACTTCGAATTATCCTCAATTAACTGCGCATATGCCAAAGGTACATTTGGAAAGGTTCAGTTGCATGTCATATAGTTGGAGAACCTGAAAAACTTGTCAGGTTATTTACGCGTTCTTCCATGGATGAACTCTTCACAATCATATTATTCACATAGGCTTCCATGTTCTTTCCGATTTGGTCTTTGAAGATTTTGTTGATGAGGCGTTGCAAAGTAACTAACGCATTCTTCAACCAAAAATGCACGACCTTGTAACAGAAAATGTCATCTTTTGTGACAAAGGAAGTTTTCTCCTCATCCTAGGGATCATTTGAATATGGTTGTAGCCTGAAAAAACATCCATAAAGCTCATGTACTTGTAAGTCGTTATAGAGCCCACCAATCTATTGATAAAGGGGAGCGAAAAATCCCTCGTAAGGCATGATATTAAGCGAAAGCATGATGATGGATAGGAGTATGCGTTCGATCGAGTCGAGTCAAAAAATTTCGAGTTATTCGAGTTGACGAGTCATATTTTATAACTCAGAGTTGACATGAAATTTTTTATAGTTGAATCGAGTCAAATTTTCGAGTTTCTATTTAAATTTAATTGTAAATATTTACAATATTATGAAATCATTTGATTATTATTTAAATGATATTTTACAATCATATACAATATATATATGTATTTTTTTATATACGATTTACATATATCATACAAAGTCGAGGGATTTGACTCAAGCTTCGACTTAAATTGAAAATCAATCTACTGAGTAGTAAACATTTCAAGTTATCCGAGTTATTTGAGTTGAATTTTACAACTCGATTTGAACTTGAAATTTTTTAGAGTCGAGTTTATAAAATTACAACTCGAAATCAATTCGAGTCGAGTTTTTCAAGTCGAATCTAAAAAATCGATTTTTCAAATCGAGATTTGATCATTCCTAATGATGGATGTATCAATCTTTGGCATGTCGGTAACAGACCATGCAATAACATCAGAGTGGGCTTTGAGCACCCTTGTCAAAGATTTGTATGGACCGCGAATGATACTCTGTCTATTGGTCTATCCTCATGTATCTCTTATGTAAATAAGATTTTATGTTATGGGTGAGCTTTTAAAATTTTAGAAAGTGACGAACTCTAAAAATTTCAGGAGACAAACAAATTTTTAATAGAAAAAAATATATATAAACAATCTAAAATATATGATAATTTTAAATTTACAATGACATTTACTTCTACTTATCTCCCCTCTAACCATCCCCGAATATTAAGAAATTTACTGTAAAATTGAATTTAACTAGTATCAATTTGTCTTTCCGCATCAAAGGCCTTTCAAAAAAAAAAAAGCGTAATACGTGAAGGGCTAGTCAATTATGAGGAACTCTGTATCAATTGTGAATTGCTAATATTATTTATATGTCCATTATTTTGTATTATTAATTATATTTTATCAATGAATTGGTATTTTAACTCCGTCGTTATATATTTTGTCTCTATTCTTAAATTATGAATAATATAATTATTAAATAATAATTTTAATATTTTGAAAAGTTATCCATGATAAATTTAATTTTGAAAGGTTGTGGATGAAAATAAAAGTTAAATGATAAGTGATAAACATATGGATGAATTCTACCCTATCTTTTCGGCATGAAAAAACCCATAGAGATCACATATTTTATCTCAATTTCCATATCTGCCTATCATAACAAATTTCATCAAATCTGTGTATCAGTTAAAAAAAATTAATCAAAATCCTATCATGGATTTAGTTGACAAACTTAGCCTACCAGCTTACCAAATTAGGTGCATGAAACTTGGAAGTACAGTGAAAAACATGGTGAGATACTAACATTCCTTAATTCTCATATCTAAACCCACCATTCCTGTCATTAGAGAATTTAAATTCGAACAGCGCCTAAGATTAGTCAACATTACCTTATAATCATCCCTTGCTATTAAAAAAATCATTTTTTGTCAATACAAATTCATTCAAATTTTCTCATCCTTCACATCTTTCAGTATGAAACTGCAAGTCCTTTACAGCTTCAGGAGCAACGTAGCGTTGAAGAGTTGGTCTTAGATCTCCCTGTCCTGCTGTACTACGCCATTGATTTGAAATTTAAACCTGTTAGACTCTTACAAGGGACTTTTAAAACGGAACAAAAAAAAAACCAGGCAGCCTCTACGAGACTACAAAGATTTAAAGAAAAGAAAGCAATGGAGGAGAGAAATTGTGATAGAATCCCTTTGATCAATCCATCAACATTGACATCATCACAAGGAACTGCTTCCAAACTTCAAACTATAGGGAACATCTTAGTTTCAATAGTTGGAACCGGGGTTTTAGGCCTTCCTTATTCTTTTCGAGTCGCCGGTTGGCTTGCCGGATCACTCGGTGCCATCATTGTTGGTTCGGCTACTTTCTACTGCATGCTCCTTCTTGTTAGTATCGATTTTTTCTTCCTTTAATGCTGCTTTTTTTTTCTTTTTTTCTTTTTTCACTTCGGTGATACATGAATTTTCTTATTGAAGACTTTCCATTAACATTTGTCTGCAGATTGAGTGCAGGCATAAATTAGCATCAGAAGAAGAATTAAAGGGAACAACAACGTATGGAGATTTGGGTTTCAGGTGCTTAGGAAAACCAGGGCGTTACCTGACAGAATTTCTCATATGCATCTCCCAATGTGGAGGATCAGTAGCATACTTGGTATTCATAGGTCAAAACGTGGCATCCATATTCAAACTCAATGGCCTCACTTTTGCTTCTGACATATTCTTGTTAGTCCCTATTGAAATTGCATTGTCATGGATCAGATCCCTCTCGACTTTTGCACCCTTCAGCATTTTCGCTGATGTATGCAACCTGTTGGCGATGGGGTTTGTTGCTAAAGAAGACATACAACAGGCAATTAGGGGAGATTTTTCATTTAGAGATAGGAAAATGTTCAACTTGGGAGGGTTGCCATTTGCAGGGGGGACGGCAGTGTTCTGTTTCGAAGGGTTCGGAATGACATTGGCTCTTGAGCAATCCATGAGAGAGAGGAAAGCATTCCCTAAGGTATTGGCCATTTCTTTTGCATGGATCACACTTGTGTATATTTTGTTTGGGACTTTTGGGTACATGGCTTATGGCGATGACACAAAAGATATCATTACACTAAATCTTCCCAAAAATTGGACAGCCATTGCAGTACAGGTAAATTTGCTGAAATCTTCAATCATATATTTACTTTTCAAGCATAAATTTAGAGCGTATAAACTTATCATTCATACTCCCCCCATCAATCCAAGAAGCTTAATCTATTCCTTGGGAACATCTTTAAAATTTATATAAAAAGTTCTTATCAACTGTTGCTATACATAATGAACTTTACTGTTGGCATTAGAACTTGTATTGTCTTTTGCATGTTATTATCTCATTCTAGAGGATAAAGGATTAGTATAAAGATATATAGTATAAAGATATAAGGTGATTACCCTCTTTTCAAAATACATGTTTGATAAGATGTGCAGCGCTACCGCTTATAAATTCTATTATCTCCTTTTTACTTTCCGATGTAAGATTCATGTCAATCTCTCTAAGACACTAAGGCACTCGGGTATCTCCCATAACACTTATCACGAATCATTATCCTCTTTAGACTCTAGCGTATCATGGATTGGCATTTAATCTTTTGTGTAATTGTTCGAGATTAGACTAGGAAGTTGCATCAGCAACTTGGAGACCAATTCAGGTTTCTTCTAGGTCATTCCCAGTTAGAAACAACAACTTGAAGGTTATCTGCCAGACCTTGCCCCCCCCCACCCACACCAACACACATTTTTTAGATGCTGATATTTCATAGTTAATGACATACTGAATTTATGGTCTTATTGCAACAGATTGGCATGTGCATGGGGCTAATATTTACATTCCCAATAATGGTTCATCCTGTTTGTGAAATCATTGAAGGGAAGTTGAATAGAAGATTTTGGTTTCAAAAGCTTCACAACAATGATGCTGAAAGTTCGATTACAAGATCAGGGAAGTTCGGAATATACATCGGTCGAGCAGTTCTGGTGATCGGATTGGCAGTGTTGGCGTCATTCGTCCCTGGTTTTGGTGTTCTAGTCTCACTCGTTGGGAGTAGTGTATGTGCATTGATCTCTTTTGTATTGCCAGCCTCATTTCACCTAACCTTGTTAGGTTCATCTCTGAGTTACTGGCAGAAAAGTTTGGATGTTTTCATTTTGTTGTGTGGACTGTTTTTTGCAGTTTATGGTACATATACCACCATAGTTGAAGTCTGAAACAGAAAAAAAAACAATGAAAATAAACAAAATTTTGTTTCGAAATATTTCAAATAAAAAATTCAGTTCTTTGATTAGATTAACAGACATTAATATACTTGTGGACTCATAAAAACATAGATGCGAATCTCGGAAAATTTATTGGTTTCAATAAGAACTCAAATCAACAAGTTATTCAACATATTTTGCTGACATTGGCAAGGAAATTATTATGTAGCTATAATATTTCATTTACTTCCTCTTTTGCTAAAGGAATTGTGATTGATGCAGTAGCCTGGAAGTTTTGATAAGATTAATTTTTGAGTTAATTGTCTCACATGTCCTCAAAGTATGACCCTCATTTTAAATTGGTTCCTAAACTTTTAAATGTTTCAATTTCATGTCTAAACTATGATTACCATTGTAAATTAGTCCTCAAACTTCTGAATATTTCAATTTCATCCCCAAACTGTGACCTTCATTATAAATTGGTCCCTATAATTTTTTAACATTCCAATTTCAACCCAAACTATACGTGTATACTAATCACATCATTTGTTAATAAAATCGTTAGGCCAAGTTATATTATTATAAATTAAGAAAAAAACAAAATTTAGGTTATATTATGGTTGGAACAAATTTTACATTTGGATGAATTTGGGGATGAAATTGGAACATTCAAAAGTTTTGGGACCAATTTGGAAGAGAATCATAGTTTAGGGATGAAATTATAATGTTTAAAAGTTTAAGAACTAATTTAGTGTCATAGTTTGAGGATGAAAATAGAATATTCAAAAGTTCAAGGATGAATTTAAAATAAAGGTTGTAGTTTGGGGACATATGATGCAATTAACTCTTAATTTTTTGTTAATTTTTTTATATATGAAATTGGAGGAATTCAGGGTTAAAATACTTCAAAATATTCCATATTCTAAAAGGAAATTGCACGAAAATTAAAGAAAAGTAAATAAATAAATAAAAAGTTTAAATTGGAATAAGAAAAGTAATATCAATGAACAATGATTTATTGGTTCTGTAAACATTTACCAGAATTGTACAAGTGGCATGCCAAAAACTCGCCTAAACAGATGAAAATTTCCAGCAGCATCCAAAATTTGCCCAAGTGGTTAAAGGAAAACAGTCCTGTAAGATCACGTATCTTGCTGCAAATATAGGTGAGAGGATAAGCCTCAGATTCTACCATCATCAACAACTATTTTTTTTTAACCTTAAACTCTTCCCAGACCACGTTTCAAAGTGCCAACTCATGCTCGTTCGAGCTAGCATGAATCATCTTGATTGGACATCGATATCATTTCTTTAACAGCATGTGTGTTTGGAAAAGAGACCCCTTAGCTAAAAGGAGAGGCATCTTCCATGATTGCATTATTTATATGTTGGTATTCGTCTTTTTCAGGTGAGGCACATTTTGGGATGTGCATCAAAGCTATTGCTCTCCCCACTCAACCGAGCATGGGGCATCCACTTCAGGGAGAAAGCGACCTGCTTTTTCGGCAAAGTGAAAGTGAAAGGCCAAGGGGAGGCATTGATTCTCGTTCCTTCTTTCTATGTTCTCTTTTCCTCACTACAAACAGATGGATCCGAGAGATCAGGGATGGATAGGAAGGGATGAGAAGGGCAGTAGCTCCCCTAAAAAATTTAATTTAATTAATGTTTAAATTTTTTTTTAATTGATAATTTGATTTCGTTATTAAAATTTTATAAGTCCGTTCATTTTAATTTTTTTTTAAAATCATGAGTCCATCAAACAAAACATCAAGTTCCTTTCATCAACAATGCCATCACAAGACTCCCTTTTTTATTTGTTCATTTATGGCCACAAGTTGGTTATTCTTAGTATCTTTTGAAAGATATGTCACTAAAACGAAGATATTCTTGTGGGGAAATCTTTTCCACTCTGTATTCTTTTACATGATTAACTCCCATTACCCCCATCTTTCTGCCTGCAATGGACATTGATGCAGTCCCTTTCACATTTTATGCCTTATCCCAATTGCTACAAAGCAATCTTGGTTAAAATTTCCTGCCGGTTCCTATAAATATCTAGCAGAATCGATCGGGATTTTCGTGTATCGCTTTTGTATTGTTTTCCATGTAACATATTGAACATGAATATGATATATAGTATCTTACATGATCAGATCAAATCGAGTGAGAGGTAACAAAGTTTTGTGGTCATTCTTGTGAAAAGGAAATTTGGGTGTATTCCGGATTCCACTAGAGATAAAAGATGAAAAGGAAGAAGCTTAGTGCTTAGGCCATTTTTCATGTAGTCCCAATCATTGAACTCTGTAGAGAAATCATGCTCCAAAAGGGCCTTTAGATCCTAATTACATCAATAGATTTAGAAAATCTAGAATCCTAAAATAAATGTGTTAGTGCAGGAATAAATCATGGGGATGAGAGATGAATTGTATTAGTTTAAGTAATAAGCAACTTGATATCGTTTAAGTATATCTCGAATTCGAGGTCTTATGTGTAGAAAATTTTCGTTGGGAGATCTTTCCACCAAATTTAAATACGCAACACTAATCAATCCGAATTAATCAGGACAAAATCATAAAAAATCGGAGGACAATCAAAATAAATAAATAAATAAAGAGGATGAAAAGGAAGAAGAGCCAGATTAACGCATGGAATGTCCCAAATCCATTCCACGTAGTCCCATACCAAACCATCCAACACATTCATTCCCCCTTCTTGTTCTACTTTTGATATTATATGATTTATATTTGTGCCTAAAACTACTAAACCACAATCAAATTTTAACAGAAAAGTTGCGATTGCCTGCTCATATTTTGGTTCCTATCATTTCTCTTGTAAAGAAAAAGATTTAAGGTGTGGTTGCTGTGTGAAGTGGTCCCCTCAAATTCCCTGGGTTTGGAAAATGAGACCCACCAAAAGCATAGCTACAGTGTCCAGATGAGATGGGTTCAGTTTCATTTCATGCATGAAATGATAACGCCTCTCACCATCACATCACACACGTTCAATTACATCTCCCACCTTACATTATATAATATTGTCGGTTAACAGTATTGAATTATGGTACTTTTTTATTATCAATAATATACATATAAAGTATAGTATACTATTTTTTTATCTAATTATTCAAAATTGTTATACTACCTCCGGATATCAAGATATTAGGAGAAGATATTCCCTACTAAGATTTCAAAAAGATGTTTTCGGATGTATAACCTTTGGAGCACTGTAATCTCGCAATTTACAGTATTTTTCATGATATTGAGCCGATTTTCCATGATTTATCATAATAAATTTATAATTGATTACATCAATTATCATGGTGACATAGAACATTGACATCAATCAATAGTCGTTCTCTTACCGGTTATAACTCTTTGTCCAAATTAAAAAGGGTGAATCATCTATAGTCGTTATAACCCATTTGTTTCCATATAAAAATGGTACGGTGAAACGTAAAACAACTCTTATAAAAAAATAATCAATTAAAATGCACCTCTAAAGAAAAAATATCCAACATCACCCCTTATTCTTCTCCTAAAATCTTCCCTCACATACTTGGATATTTTTGGTTTACACTTACAAGTTCAAGCTGTACAACTTGCCTGTACGGGCGAAAATCCCTCGGAAGATAATAGGGATGACATTACACACTCTACTTATCTAGATCATTCTCTTTACAAATACTGGAAAGACGATGTAATATTGTAACCCCTAGACCCGGCCTATGCGTTTTGACTAAGTCTAGTGGATCACATTATGATTATTAAAGACATTTTCCGAAATCGTTATTCTATCAATATAAAATCACATTATAAATAACATGAAATTATAAACAAATTATACTATCAAAATCCAACTCGTAAATATAGTACCAATAAATAATAATTTAATTTAAAACATGTCTTCAAATTCAAAATCACAATAAACCGAGCAGTACTAGCAAAAGAGTCATCATTATAAAATCCGATATTTAAAATAAGGTCCATGTCACCAAAATAAAGTCAACTTGCAAGATAAAAACATTACAATCTGATTCACTTCAAGAGATATGTTGATCCTCCAAGTGCTCGAACCGAGGTATCTAACCAACAGTATCTGAAAGGGGGAAAACATTTTCAAAATGTGAGCTAGGCTCAGTGTGTCCCAACATTTCCATAAAATGTCAATAGGTACAAATCATAGTCCAGTAATTTTACAAATTCGTAAAAGAGTTTAACTTTTGAAAATCATAGTTTAAACCCTTTTCTGGTACACCATCAGTAGTTCTCAAAATTATTTTCCATATAGCTTACTTTATGCACATAGCAAAAAGAAAGCCGACTTAAGGATAGGCTCTGAAGCTTGTATCCTTAAGCCCAAGTCAATAAGTCCATATAGCTTACCCAAAGCACACAGCAAAGGAAAGCCGACCTAATGAAACATCTTGGGGCCCTCAAGAGTCACATTAGGCCCATTTAGCTTGATCAGAGCTATTCCATCGTAATTCAATTCCAAAATTCAATTGCACCGTGACATAAATTCCATAAATCCAAAAACATGGTAATCATATACCATTTCAAAATAAAAATTAGATAGCAGCCATATTCCATAAATTGTCACATTAAATTGGTGCATCCATAAACAATAACCAATGAATTCGGTGTACCACATATTAAAACCAATGAAACAGTTCAGTAACAAGTAGTGAACACACCTCGATAATAGGTTCAAATAGCAAATCTACTGATTGCTGGTTTCACCACGCTCTTCTACAGTTTTCAAACCTATTTAACAATAACACTATATTACTTATGAGTAATATAAATAGATCCCTAAAATCATAAAATTTATGGTCTTACGGGTGAATACTGGCACACGTGGTTTAACTGATATAGAAGAGCTGGGTCGAGCTATCGAATGATCCGGAAAGTCTCTTGTACCTTCAAACAATAATAATTGATCAGCCTCAAATCTTATTTAATTGTTCAAAACTAGAATTCTTAAATATCTAAGCATTTTTTGGGTTTGACTATCAATT